TAATGAGAATTTAGTAAAATTTCTTTGCTATTCACCAAGCTACGGTAAACAGTGTTTTACTTGCCTGTTTGTGCACTGGCATTAGCGTGCTTACGAGAGGAATTGCGTCTGTGGCTTGTCAGCATCCTCAAGTTGAGGGACCCTTTCTTTTTAGTCTCGCCACAATGGAAGAGAGCATGGGAAGAATAAGGATGGGCACACTGTGGGGAATGAGGGCAAAAGACAGTCTGAAGACAACCAGAAGTGCGTCAACAGGATAAAGAGAGTCTCTTGTAGAAAAAGAAGGCTGTCAACTGCAGCTCATCTTCCTTCCTTCAGACCAAGAACAGGTTTTTATTGAGCTTTAGCAAGACTTCCCTGCCAAATATGCTGAACAATTTGCCCTATCACACTGTTTGCTTGCTTCTGAATCTGCTGAGTGATCCATTATTTACTCAGATGCCACATGAGAGCAAGCAAATGAATGAGCTCTTTATTTTTACAGGCAGATGAAATCTGAATAACCTATTGTGAAGAGAAGTAAACACTTCAGCCCTATCATTTAAAAAAAGAAGGCACAATAAAATGTTTTCATATGAGAATGTAATTTCAGTTGAACTGAAACTTAGGTCTTCAAGACTATAGAAAGATTGTTATTAACTACCGCAACTCCACAGCTCCCACACTCACTATAGCCTTTTAAATAGAACCACCAATGGGCACACAGGAGCGACGCACAGGGAGGCCTGAAAGGGTTGGGCACAGAGCTTTTAAGGGCCAGGCAATGGGCTTCCTGTGCTTGGATAGTCTGCAATCCGGGAAGCCCGCCGCTTCCCTGTTCTGAGCCTCTTACAGCCATGCATATGCATGATTGAGACCTCCATGCAGAGTTGTCATGCATCCAATCAACAACTTGCATGCTTAAGTGTATCAAGGCCCCTCCCTTTCTGAGGTTCCTTGCCAGATGTGCCTGTGTAACCTCTACTCAAGTGTTCCCCTTTTAGAAAACAAAACCACCTTGATGGATGGTAAATTCCAAGAGTTTTTAGGAACCAGATACACATAAAAGGCCAAATTGAGTTCTCTGTCCCACACCTACATTGAACATTCCTTAAGTATTTGAATAGACAAGTGAGTGTATTGATTTAAGTAGGCAGACACTCTGTACCCCGTGGCACTCCCTACTTTTCAGTTGGGTTCAGCAATGGGTGTATTAGGCAAGTTAATGGGTTACAATTCAGATGAGAAATACACATGATATAATTGTTCAGCCAGGACAATTTTTAATCTGCCATGCCCTCAGGCAGGCCTCTCACTGGCCCTCGGCCTCTTGGCTCGGCTGCTGTGGTAATGTTACAGAGTTCTATTAGGGCTGCTAGTAAAAGCCCAGAGGTATGCCACAGTGCTGTATTACGCCTCAGCCTGGAGGCACTCAGCTCCATGGGTCAGCAAACCCAGCTCTTCAAGTGCCAGAGGCACCCCATTCCACAAGGCCAAGCTCTCTCAGTGTTACTTGCTCTGTGGCCTGGGAAGTGCACTGCTCTGATTAAGACATGCCTTGACTCATTCCTTTGGTGTCAAAGCTGTCTTTTGGATCAAGGAGGTTTGGTACACAAGGATCTCGGGATCCAGTTTCTCTCTTGTGGGTAGTGAGGTCCTTCTGCTTCTGAGATGCCTCATTTTATACCCCATAGGATGGCAATAAAAATCAACTCTGTTGACAGTCACTCACGGCTGAGTCATATAATCCAATCAGGCTATTCCCTCACCTTCTGACCCAGACCCATCAGTAAAATGAAGGTCGTTTGGTGGGAGTAACAAAGGTTGTGTCTAGAAAAGCCATATATTAAACAATTCACTGCATTATAGCAGACTTAAAGACTTTGCTTGCCTTGCCCATTGCACTGTATTGTGATTCCTGGTTTTACCTGCCAGCCTCTCCTCCATTAGGTTCTTAAACTAATTGAAGATAAGGTCAGTAGTTTGAAACCACCAACCTCTCCACGGGAGAAAGATGGGCCTTTCTACTCTTGTAAAGAGTTGCAGTCTTGGAAACTCAAGGAGCAGTTCTACACTGTCCTAGAGGGTTGCTATGAGTCAGCATCGACTTGATGGCAGTAAGTTTTGGTCTGGTGTTTTCCCATTCAGGGTGTGGCACCTATCTTGGCATATATGAGGGGGGCACTCAAAATAAAAAACCCAGAAAACTGCATTGAGCGGAGCTTTTATAGTACATATTTTTCCTGCGAGGCAAGTAGGAAGCAACTCACTCTGAGTTAGTCCACCCAGTGGCATTTCCTGGTAAGGTTCTCTGGTCACCCTGACTTTTCTCATAAAAGCAGTTTCATTTCAACCTCGATTTTTGTGATGGCCGATTTAAGAGAACAGCACATAACTGAAATTTTGTTTCCTGCTTGGGAAAAATGCCACAGAAACTGTTGTGATGTTGAACACCGCTTACAAGGACAGCACTGTGGGAAAAACTCTTTAAGTATATAAGTGGTTTTCTCATTTCAAAAAAGGCGAAATGTCAACTGATGACAAACTTCATTCTGGATGTCAACTTCCCAAATGCATGAAAATGTCAACAAAATTCATGTACGTGTGCTCGAAGACTGAGGACGCCGCCGCCGGACTATGGACGAGAGGGGGAGTTATCTAGACTATGTGGGAGCTCGCTTCAGCGAATTTTAACAAGATTTGGGAATGAGAAGGGTCACTGTGAAACTTGTGCCCCGGGTTCTGACTGACCAGGAAAAAGGGTGCATGGAGACATGCCGTGCTTTGAAAGAACAGCTTCAAAGTGACCCAGACCTTTATTTCCCAAGGTCATTACTGATGACAAGACATGGTGCTATTCCCATGACCCTGAAACCAAACATCAATCAAGCCAGTGGAAGACACCGTCGTCACCATGCCCCAAAATAGCTCTGTGAAGTGAAATCAGATTAAGACGATGCTCATTTGTTTTTGTGATGTGAGGGGGATAGTGCATTTGGAGTTTATTCCACCAAATCAGACTGTCCATCAAGCTTTCTATTTAGAGGTTCTGAAAAGATTGCGTAACTGTGACAAAAAGGCCTGATTTGTATAAGGTGACCAGTCCCGATTTTTGGCAAGAATGCACGACAAGGTAGGGAACGGTCTCTTTGGTCCATATAGACCAAATTTTTAATCAGGAACCTCCCCTCCGCACCCCCGATCAGTGGTGTCCTGCTTTAAATCTGGTCACCTTAGATTTGTGGCAGACGGGGGTCTGGTTTTGCCACCATGACCGTGCACTTACTCACCTAGCCATCTCAGTATGCCAGTTTTTGACCAAGAAAACGCCAGCATGCCCCTGTTGCTCCACACACCTACTCAGCTGACCTCACTCGGTGAGACTTTGTTTCTGTGCGTGCAGAGGGACACGTGAGGGCAGCAGTTTGACGACATAGAAGAGGGGAAGAATGTGTCAGCACCCAAACAGATGAGTCTGAAACTGTTCCCAAGAATGGAATCGCAGATTTGACAAATGGATTAAGTATAATGGAGAGTACTTTGAAGGTGATAAGGTTGTTTTTTTAAAAAAATTACTGTTTTTTTTGGGGGGGTTCCCCTAGTAGTGCTTTTAGTTGCTGTGCAAGGCAACCTTGTATATATATAACATAATGAAATGTCTGGTCCTCTGCTTTTTCATGATCGTGGACATACTTGAGTCTAGTTTTGGCTATTGGCTCATTTTCTAAAATCACTGGACAGTATTCTGTTGTGATCTGCAGGGTTTTCATTAACTAATTTTTGGCAGTAGATTAGGATCTTTTTTCTTAATTTACCCTAGTCTGTTCATCATGGGTGATCCTGCTGGTGTGTGAGATTTTGGAGGCGTAGCCCTGGTGGTGAAGTGGGATAAACACTTGGGCTCCTAGCTGCAAGGTTAGAGACTCAAACCCACCGGCTGCCCTGTGTGAAAAAGATGAGGCTGTCAGATCCTGTAAAGATTTACAGTCTCAAAAATGGTGCAAAACAGTTTTACTTTGTCTTATAAGGTTGTTGTGAGTTGGAGTTACCTTTATAGCAGTGGACTTGGTTTGGATTGAGTTTTAGGGTATAGCTCCCAACATTATAGCAACATGCGAACCATCATAGTTTGACAAACTGACAGATGGGTGGTAGTGACGTTCTAAAATAACCTAAATGCACTGCTATGGAGTCGATTTTAATCCATAGCCACCTCTGTGTAGGTTTTCTGAGACTAATGGGAGCAGATAACCTCATCTTTTTCTCTAGGGGCAACTGGTGGGTTTGAACTGCCGATTTTATTGACACCCTAACACCTAACTCCAAGATTGCCAAATGTATCATGTTATTTGATTTGAAAAGATAAGTAATGCTATACTTGCAAGTAAATATAAAATAATTGTCCTAAGAAAATATTTCTAATGCATAATTATTTATAGATAATTGTTTTGCCCATCTCACTTATAGTTTACCCTTAAGTTAGTTTGATTTACAAGGAAAGAACCAGGATAATGGGTTGTTATTTTTTTAAACATTGGTCATGCCTGGACACCATTCAGCAGATATTTGAGTTAGGCACACGCAGGTACTGTGGTGTGCTTTGGGCATATAGCTGGGAGCAAAACATTTGATACCTGTCCTCCAGGACCTGTGTGTGGTCTAGTAGTTTACTTCACGAGTTCAAAAACTTGCTAGATAGTAAATATTTTAGACTCTTCAGGCCATATAATCTCTGTTCCATCTACTCAGCCCTGACATTATCTCCCCAAAGTATGCAAAAAAGATGAGAATAATTGTGTTCGGTAAAGCTGCATTTACAAAAACAGGCCTGCAAGTTATAATTTACTGGCGCCCGGTCTAGTTCACTTGTTTTTGGTCTCTGTCTCTGTCTTACACGGTTATCTACAACAGCAGTTTTCGTCAAGAGTTGATTTGTTTGCCAGGATTAGCTAAAGTGAGATTGTGGATGAGCTTGAGCTGGTCAAATGAATAAAGTTATTATTTTTTAATATTTTATCCAGGACAATTTATTTTCTTACATCAAAGAAAATGTTAAAGAGTATCTGCAGACACACTGGGAAGAAGAGGAGTGCCAGCAGGATGTCAATCTCTTGAGGAAACAGGTTGGGACATTTCCTAGTGTTGAGAATGCTTAGGAACTTGTTTTGGCTGTGTGGCCCAGATTCTGAAATAAGGGGTCTGGTTTCACAGATGCTGCCCAGACTTGACTGCTTAGGAATTCACAGTACAGAATTCAACAGCCAGACCACATAAGTTCCTTTCTCCAGACTTGCATCCTTCCAGAGGTTATTTAAAATTGGACACAAATATCTGAGGCATAAAAACTAAGCCTTTTAGGGTGGAATGCAAGAAACTTGTGCAACCTTACTTTTACTTTTCACGAGCATCCCATAACCTCTTCATCCTCTAATCTTTCCCATCCCATCTCATGGCATGAGTCCCTGCTGACCCCTCCGGCTCCTGGTCCCCACATCCATACTCCCTCTCCAGATGTCCCACTCCATGTCACCCCAGCATTCGTACCCGCATGGTCTCATGGGCCCATTAGATCTTTGGCTGTTAGGGTTTTTACAAGATAAAGGAGATGGAAAGAAATTGAATGTGAACCAGATCGTATTTTGCTAGCTGTTGCTTTTCATTGAATCCAAGCCTAAACGAAATTTATTGAGATATTCTGCTTTTCCTTCTTAATTAGCTCTCATGCAGAGGAAATGGTCAGATTTAATTGATGTTCCTTTCCTCTCACACATACCAGGCTTCCAGGTTTACATTTTAGTGTTAGCCATCTAGCAACAGTAATGTAAATTTGATTAATTATACTCTAGCTTATTTTGGGAAATCACTTCTATAAGCCCTCAAATAAGTGCTATTTTCATTTACCAGAGGGCTTGGGCTAATAGGTTGTTAAAGAAGTTGGTCAGCTTGCCTTTCAGGTCTCATTTGACATGATCTTTTTCAAATAAGCAAAAAACAAACTTGGTATCGCTTCTGACTTACAGGCTGAAGAGGATTCCCACCTGGACGGAGCTGTTCCGATCCCTGCTGCATCCGGGAATGGGTCGGATGGCCTGCAGCAGATGATCCAGGCTGTGGTGGATAATGTGTTCTGGCAGATGTCTCTGGACCGAAAGACCACGGCATTGAAACAACTGCAGGGCCACATGTGGAGAGTGGCGTTCACAGCGGGGCACATAAAAGCAGAGTAGGTAGCCAGTCCAGCCCTGTCCTCTCACTCATATGTATATTGCACAATTAGTAAAACTGATCAAATCAAAATCCTTGTTCTAACAAGCGAAGGTTTTGTTTTATTTTGAAAGCTGGGCTACAGCATTTCTCTCAGCCAAATTCCCCAGACCAGTTGGTTTGGTTTCTTTGAGGTAGTTGAAGATTCTCAATCCCAGTCTAAAATGGCTTCCTTGAAAACATTATATTCTTTGAGCTAAGTCATATTTGATCCCTACTGAGCGCTGCTTCCCAGGACTTTCTGATCACTTGTTCCCTATTCTGCTGACGAAAAAAGAATGCTCTGAAATGACGTCCTCTGTCCCTGTGGGGTTCCGCAGAGGTAAACTACCATCAGTGTCCCTCGGCTCTGCTCGCCGTGCACTCTCCACAGATGGCTTGAGTCATGCTGTGGCGTTCCTGATCCCTCAACTCATGGGGTCTGTATTGCTGAGAGAGTCTTACTGAAACACATTGCCAACACACAGTTTAGGCTGGTGCCTGGTTTAATGCTAAGATAAAGACTTGACTATGTGTCTTGCTTATTACTATCAGTTGAACTTTTATTCACTTTACATGGAGTTTCTTCCCTGTCTTGAAGGATACTTTGGAATTTTAGGATAGGTCAGTGATCTGAAAATAGCAACTAGTTCACTTAGTAAAAGACTCAAAACAGTGGAGCTAGGAGACAGTGACCTCAGTAGTTCACCTTACTTGTTAATTATAAATTTAGGGTCTTGGAATAAATTATCTGACTTCTAAGCCCTGCTTTGAGCAATAATGTGGGAAAACCCTGTCTCCATGAGTGCAAAACAGTCGCTTTTAACTATTGTACTGGTTTTGAACTCTATCTCTTGCTGTTAGTTGAGAGAGGGCTTATAGGTTTCATTTGAATGCCTCTTAATTGACTGGGGTAGAGTTGATTAAATAAGTTGAGAACCAAGACAACTTGGCCTCACCCACCCCAAGGTGAATGACCCCAAGTCATACTAGTAATAAAATTCAAAGATCTGAAGCTTTGGGTTATGTGTTGTAATGATTCTCCAATAAAGGTTGTTATTCTGTAGAGGAATCTGCTAAAAATGTCTAAAGTCATTTCTTGGCCTCATGTATTTTCACGTTGGCAAAAGTTATAAAGATCAATGCATTGCTCTTTAATGATGTTTGTGCATATAAATACATTTTCAGAATAATCCACAGATTGTTGAAGAATTGAGAGTTGCTTTCTGTAAAGGAGTCTTTACCAAAAGTTCCCAATAAAACTAAACATAAAAAATTTAAAAACAAGCCCCCCAAGCCCCCACTTAACATTTATGTAGTGTTCACTGTATATGCTTGCCGTAGTTCTAAGCCCTTCATATATATTTTTTTAACTTCTCTAACCCTCTTAACAGCCCTATAAAGTAGGTATATAAATATCCTCCCCATTTTTACTGGGGAAACGGTCATTTGCACGTTTAAGTAATGGACCCAACGTCATGTGGCTGTGGCTCACCTAGTGGAAAGCTGGTTGTATTGTATTTACCAGAAGCAAAGCTGTGGAAAATAGCTCGTGTTTAGGCAGGTATATCCCAATCGTGGATCAAAGCGTGTCTCATTT